CCCCAAAACCCCAAAACCCCAAAACCCCATGATTAAAAATATTTATGAAGTAATAGATATCAAGTATATAAATATAGAAATATGTTTATGTTGTTATTGAATTAAGAGGGTTTAACATCAAAATCAAGTTCAGTCCTGTTGTCATCTTCTCTTTTGTGGTCTTACAAAGACAATGGTTCTGGTGCCAGCCTTGTAAATTCTGAATCTGTTTCCTTGAAGAGTTGACTTCTTCTTAGAAGCAAGCCTGAGACTTCTAGGCACACTGTTGATGTGAGCATACTCAACAATGGCGTAGCAGTTTTCTCTGGGCTTTCCTGGGATCTTTTGACCCTTTCTGATTCTGATGTCCTTAATTAAGCCGCACTCGAAGTCTTGCTAGAAGAATTTCAAGTAGATCTCTGGGGTTGAGAGGTGAGAAGTGACAATTGGGGAAATCCAAATTGATCTGTCGAGTCTCTCTTGGTTGAGATATTGAAGTTTCTCGAAACCGTCAACGTAGAGGTGAAGTCCAAGTTGCTCGACCTTTGAAGCTAGTTGGATGGTGAAGTGCTCGCTGAGGTAGTTCTGGAGAATGTAAACATGATCAATCTTTGAGTTTTTGTTGAAAATAGCCTCCTTGAAGAAGTAGTCGAAGCCATCATCATTGATGAAGTTGAATCTGAGACCAAGAGAGGTGATCTTTGAGTCTGGGTTAGAGACGATACCTTCAGTCAGGGCCTTGATACCCTTTTCTCTTAGTCTATTGTGACCAACGTCTAAGAATTTAAGGGACTTGTTGACTTTGAGTAGTTCTCTTAAGCATCTTGCTCCATCTACATCAACTTTGTTTCTGTAGAGGTTGAGATTCTCGAGGGTCTGGTTCTTTTGAAGTGCTTAAGCTAGAGCTTGGGTTCCTGAGACTCCAAGTTTGCATTGAGATAAGTCAAGTGTTCTGATGGAGTTATTATTCTCAAGTGCGCCAGCCAAGGTCTTGGCACCTTCCTTTAGAATATTATTTCTGCTTAAGTTTAATACTTAGAGAGTACAAGTTCCAAGTGGGTTTGCACTTAGACAATGAGAAAGTAAATCAATATCGTTTTTATTCATTTAGCAAAGTTGTAAGTCAAGCACTTGCATTGACTTTTGAACGAATAAGTTCATGATCTGAGGCCATGTTGGGTGAGTTCTTTTAGAGAGTTCCTTAAATTTGAAGTTGTTTCCAGTCAGCATTGATGATTGAATGTTGAGATAAGTCAAACCGCATTGGAACTTCTTCTCGAGTTGCTCCTTTTGCATGTCTTTGGCAACTTTCTTATCTCCATACCAGAGTTCATGACAGTGCTCTGAGATCTTGAAAGCCTCAAAGAATTGGTTGGCGATCAGATAAGTCTAGAAGACTGTCTAGAGAGAGAGAGTCTTCAAGTTTCCATTCTTTTTGTGGTTCATTGCGCAAGCTTTTGCTAACCATTGAACTTGATTTGTTCCCATATAGCTGGCTGAATCCAAATTTAAGTAGTTCAAAGTCTTGTTTTCTCCTAGGGCAATAAAGAATTCCTCCTTTAAGTAGTTGTTAATTTGAGTGTTTTTTAGAATAAGAGTTTCTAATGATCCTGAGATCTTGACTAGTTTGTAGATAGCTTCAGCTGTATCTGGTTGAGTCAATGAGTCATCAGAGAAATCAATGTGAGTGATCTTTGGTGAGAAGGCGAGATTGTAGATAATTGAATCAGCTCCTTTGCCAATACTTGGATTCTTTCCAAGCTTAATAACCTGAAGTTACTTGGCTCTCATAAGTCCATCAGCGATTTCTTTGGCCTTGCTGTGATCAAGGTAAGTTTAAGTAAGGTCGAGCTCTTGAATGTTCTTGAAGTCTGAGAGAACCTTACCAATTGTTTGAGCGTCCTTTAGAGTCAACTGTTGGTTGTTGATCTTAAGAACTCTGAGCTCGGGAAGAGTCTTGAGAATTTAGTAGAGATAGTCATCATGAGCACCGAGGATTTGGTTGATTTGAAGCTTCATAATACTGCCTCCATTATCTTGGAAATACTTGAAACCCTTATAGAGATACTTGAAGCCATCAAGTCCAAGATAGACGATTGAGTCTTTGTGGATCTTTAAGATCTTGAGGTTCTTCATTCTTCCAACAAGAACCATCAAGTAGTAGTTGTTTGACTTAAAGTGCTTCTTGTCCAAGATCTTGATTCTGAGAGTCTGGATGTATGGTCCAAGCACATCAATATAGTTGTAGAATAATTTGAAGTCTTGGTGTTGGGGGAAATAGGTGATCATCTGTTCGAAGCAGAGTTTGAAGAAAAGATCTCTCCATGTGAAGGTAGGAGGATAGTCTTCGACAAGGGTAGCTACCTTGATATTGTCATAATGATCAGCACCGTTAATATTTTTGATATGCTTCCTGAGTCTGTCATTGCTATTCTTAACAGTATTAAAATCTTTTGTTTCAATTGCATCGTCATCACTTAACAGAGCATAGTCTCTTGGACTGAGTTTTTTGCCAGCTGCGGTGTTGCTATGGATATTCTTAATCCATTAGAACTTTGTGAAGACAGCATCTTGCCATTTAGGATCTTCTTCATTCAAGAAAGTCTTTGAGTTTTCATCATAGTATTCGAGTGTCTTAACACCTTGGTCAAGAAGTTAGATTGCTTATTCAGTAATCTTTGGTAACTCACTGAAACCATCATCATTGCCGTGATACTTTTTAGATCTTGAATTCTCAATGGCTTTCTTTAGTCTCTCTCTAAGAGCAGCATCATCTGGCATTGGAATTCCTAGCATTGGGTAGTATTTGAGGAAAGATTTGACTTGTTGAATCTCGAAGCATTTCTTTTGGAACTTATCCTCAACTTTGAAGTCCAAACACCCATGATGGGAGTCAAGCATCTTACAGAATTTTTCCAAATCCTTGCCGTTTGCCTCAGTCACAGTCTTGTTAAGAAAGTAGAAGAACAAGGTGATGTGGAATCCAACTACTCCTGTCTTGAAGCAGACCTCTGATCTAGCTTCTTCGACTATAATATCCTTGTCCTTATACTTTGGATCAGTGTGATCAAGTTCTGGGATTTCCTTCAAGATCCAGAAGGCTTATCTGTCCATTTGCTCCTCAAGATAACTTGGCATCAAGTCCTCAATCTTGAACTTTTTGCTTACAGTGATGTAGGCAAGAAGATCTCCGAGGGAGCTGGTGTGGTCTTTATGTCTCTTATCTGATTCCTAGATAAACTGTTGCACTTTCTGATCAATTTCTTGCTCAACTTCTGGGTATAAATCGATCAAGAGTCTGAATAGTCTGATGAAATTCACGAGTCTTCTGATTGCTAGGATGGAGACGTGCTTGAATTCAGCAATCAAGTCAGCAACGTGAGTGATGATAAGTTTTGGCAAAACTTCAATTATCATAGAGCCCTTGAATGGCTTTCTGGTTGAGCCGGTGCAGATGAATGCTATTGACTTCTTTAAAAGATGTATCAATCTTTCCTTGCAGTTGATGGTGACTGTTTTAGACTCCATTTATTTAGTTGCTGGCTCGTAAACCTTTCTTTTAGTCTCAATAATGTCCTTCTCTCCGAAATAGAGTGGGAGCCAATGAGTAAACTTTTCATTTGAGAGTGAATGTCTGACTTTGTGCTTAACGAAGGCTCTCATAGAGAGTAAATCGAGAGTGGGAGTGATCATTCTGATCTCTCCAGTTCTGGGGAGTCTGTTAATAGAAACACCGATACCGAGTGAAGTTTCCTTGACTCTGAGTTTGGTATGGAAGCAGGTTAGCTCCTCTCCCAAGAGATCTTCGGAAGTCTTGACCATAATGAACTGCTCCAAGTCTTTCTCTTTGTTGTTGAAGGGTGGGAATGGCTTGATGGGGCCTTGATGATTGCACTCTGGGTGGGAACATCTGAAAGCGTTGGCGTTTCTTACAATTTCTTTGTTTCCAGCTTGAACTATTTTGAGCATGTCTGCTGGGAGCTCTTCAAACAAGAATGATTGGAGTTGAATGAGAATGGTCTCAACTGTGTATGCAGTTGTCCAACCCTGATAGATTTCTTTCTTTGATATGTCTAAGATATCTAAGCAAATTTCTGTTCCTCCAATAACGTTTGGATGGTTAATAACAGTGAAGAGCTTAACCTTTGGGGGTGAGGCGGGATAATCTTGAGGGAATGTAAGTTCTATATGGAACACTCCTCCTTCGAAGGGGGTGCCCTCAGGTCCTCTGAGGTTACCGTGCCAGATGAAAAGTGAAGATGATAGTGGTCTGGCTGAAACTCCGACGAGTGGGATTTGACTGTCCTCCAGTTCTTTAAGATCCTTTTGGAGACGTCTGGCAGAATTGGTCTGCTCAACTTTGACTGCGTTCATTCTGAGTAAAGCCTTGTCCTTGGGCTTACCCTTTAACATTGTTCTTGGTGGCATACGAATATATGTCTTTGAAGATATTAAAATGAGTATTTAATAAATATAAAGATATCGAGGATTTGTTGCTAAAATATACTTCAATGCTTTAACAATCTGCCAATACTTTTAATCTATTAACCTACTAAAATCAGATTTCGACAAAATTTATCACATGGGGTTTTGGGGTTTTGGGGTTTTGGGG